CCCCCTGGTGGACACTAGAGAGAATGCAGCTTTAACACATGAAGCTTAGAAGAACTTTAAAGAACCGGAGGTTGTCTCCTGGTTTACATTCATGTTTGCTCGCTAACCATTTTCTTCTTCTTTGTTTTCTACGTTTCTTTGTTCATTATTGCTGCTAACTGTCAGAGGAACAACCAGAAAATATGTATCAATACAATTTATTTATTTATATAGCGTGAAATCACATCTCGCCATCCGTTCATGTTTGTTCAGGATCTAAACAAACACTACTCCATAGCGCCACCAGTGGTCAAACACTGCACAGTCTACCTTTAAAACATACGCTTCTGTTTTTTTCATTACTTTTTCATTGGGTGTTGCTTTGCTTTGAAGGGTCACAAGCTGGTTAATAACATCGGTGAATAGTGAGTTCTCCATTCTGTAGAACGAGGGTGAGATGTGTACTGGCAGGGTTATAAATACTATCTATCATAAATATCTGGTCAATAAGCTGATTTAAGACGTCGTCTGTTATCTTCATATGAACATAGAAGCTGAAGTGGTTTGAGAACGCTGACTTTCGGCTTCCAGGAGCTCATTGATCTGTTGTTTCTGTGCGTTTGTGATTATTTGGTGGTTCAGGTCATCCTCAGCTTCTTCAGCGGGTCGATAAACCCTGAAACAGCACTAACCACAGGGAGAAACTAGATTAAAGTGCACCGGCAGCACGTGAGCCACAGATTCAACACAACCGTAAATTATGATGGCGTTTCATTTGTGCTCGACAGAAAAGTTCAGTTCAAGACTCCACGAGACGCACCCCAGGAGTCACTTCCTGGTCTTTGGACTTGTTCCATCATTTATTACGTCTTCTACTGAACACAACAGTTCTGTGCATTACTCTGGTTTACACTGGCATCAATACTGCGTTTATTTAAAAGGGTATATCGGGGGCTGTGCATATAAATAGACAGTGTGGTTTGGGGCCCTTGAGGTGGGCTGATATATATGGAGCCTCAGAAATGTGCCTGTGTTCAAAAAAGTACTTGCATTTACTAAAAAAAACGTATTTACTATATTAACCCTCAAAACGGCAAAAGCCTCTTTTACATATATATTATTATATATTATATTTAACATAAATATATATTAATAGATATTTTTTTATTATTTTAAAAGAAAATTGCTAAAAAGCATGATGAATATGTCTCCTCTCCCCCCACCCTTTCAAAATAAAAGCTCCAGAGTGAATTCTAACTGGAATGCTTGTGATGACGCCTGTCATTTAATAACCTGTTTGTGTGTCAAACATTATGAAAATGTCTCCTCTCCCCCTCTCACCCACCCTTTCAAAATAAAAGCCCCACAGAGTAACTATCTTAGTGAAGCTCAGAATGAGGTTCATGTTAAGTTCAAGTCTTTCCATCACAAATACGGAAATGTAATTTTCAAAAGTATGTGTCTCAAACAAAGATGTACATGTCCAGTACGGAAATGACGGGAGACATTTGTGGACTGTCATCACGAAAACAAGGTATCATCGGCGTGTGTAAATATCAACATTTCTTGTGGAATTTTCTAGTTTTATGTTTGTATTCAGACATCAAACACCTGACGAAATATAAAGAATGAAGCTGTTTGTGTGGTAAAAATGAGTCAAAGAAACAGAACTAGTGAACCAGTTATTTATTATCAAAACAAACAGAGACGACGGTGACGCTGATGAAGGCCGGCCGTGTGACGCTGATGAAGGCCGGCCGTGTGACGGTGATGAAGGCCGGCCGTGTGACGGTGATGAAGGCCGGCCGTGTGACGGTGATGAAGGCCGGCCGTGTGACGGTGATGAAGGCCGGTCATGTGACCATCTGAGGCAAACGTCCGTTACACATCTGTACTTGACTTGTTTCACACGTTTCTTCTCATTGTGAGACGAGAGCTCTTGATTTGAAATGACATCATCATCTAACAGAAAGCTAATAGTGTTAACGAGTTCTACTCACAGGAGGTCCTGTTCAAACAAATGACATCACTACTTTACAAATATATAAAATAAAAACAAAACGACAGATGTGCAAGAAACAGCTGCAGTAGAGTTCACTACTAATCTGCTACATCACGACTACGTTTACATGCTCATTAATATTCCACTTTCATTGTGAATACGACAATATTCAGAATGTAAGCATCATATTGTGTTTGTATACTCTGACTTATTGTGAATGCTGATGTTCTACTGTTACATATTCTGACGTGATAAACGTCGTCGACCCGTCAAACACAGAAGAGAACGACGTCGCCGTGAGATTCACTGAGGATGAACAGATGAACATGTGAACATGTGAACATGAACGGCTGTAGACGGAACATTAGTGGAACACTCGTCTTCATTAACCATGAAAACAGATTAGTGGAATATTGTCTTCGTCAGAATAAAAACTGAATACTTGATGCATGTAAACGTCGTCAGTTTGATTTAATGTTTGACGTCTCAATAAAGTGGAGCGTGTTGAACATTATTTACATCCCGATGTGAACGTCTAATGTTCAGAGGTTTACACCGAGTGTCGGGGGGGGGACGGGGGACGGAGGGACAGGGGACGGGGGGTTAATACAAAGTTGTGCAGAGTACAAAATGTAATTCTAGTCACAATGAGAAGGCAAACAATGATAATCTCAGAAGACTGTTCCTCTCCGACACAGAGCTTCTTCATGAGTCCCGCAAAAACCCCTTCATGCAGACTCTGCAGCATCCACTGGGTCCTGGTCTGGGTCCTGGTCTGGTCCCTGACGAGTCTGGCACTTGGAAAAGGACGGAGCCGACGTACGGCCGTCACCTCTGCACGGCGTGCCTGGAGCCCAGAGACTGTGGTTTCCCTCGGCTGACCCCCTTCCCGGCGGCGTCCGGCTGAGGCGGGCCGACCCGCTGCCGCCTCCCTTTGGACTCCGGCTCCGAGTCGCTGAGCTCCAGGTCGGGACAGTACCCGTCGCTGTCCTGGTGCGACCTGCCGCTCTTGGCTCTGTGCTCGGGCTTGGCCCACAGTCTCTCCTTGGCGGAGGAGCCCTTTCGGGACAGTTTGTCAGAGGCCCGCAGGTCCTCCGTGGTCCGTACCAGGTTAATGGTGGCCTCCTTGAAGGACCTGCCGAAGTGCTCCATGGCGGACTTGCGTAACCTGCTCTTGTCCAGCGTCAGATTGGAGGCGTCCTGGTCGCCGGGCGTCTGGCAGGAACTGTCCTTCTGCGCCACGAACTTCTCTGAGAGGCCGTTGGATTTGCGGTCCTGGTCCGGTTTGCCGTTGGACGAGTGGCCGCCGTGCAGTGCGGCGTGCAGGGCCAGCGGTTTGCCTCCGGGCAGCGAGGTCGGACCGCGAGAGACGCTGGAGGACGACAGGCGACCGTTGGAGCGCTCCTCTCGGCGACCGCGTCCGTGCAGCTGAGGCTTCCCCTGACCCAGACCTTCACCTTCCACGTTACCGCTGTTGTCCGGGCACAGCGGCCCGTTACCGGAGGACTTGGAGCCGGGGTTTCCGTTTCCCAGACCGGAGGGTTTGGGCATCTTGAGCTTCAGAGTGATCCTCGGAGGAGGACGGAACAGCAGGCTCTCCGCTGGAGAGGAGGAGGGAAGACCTGAAGACAAGAGAGACGAGGAAACATGTTCAGGGCCACGGCTGCGATTCAAACGTCTCAACAGAACGATGACGGACGGACGGCTCACCGGCAGACAGCTCCTGGTTCAGCAGCTTCACGTGCAGGTTGAACATCTGCTCGTGAGCTTTGCTCTGCAGCACCTTCAGCTTCTCCCGCCGGCTCACCATGTAACACAAGTTCCTCACCTGAGAGATGGCAGAAACAGATTCACGTGTGAGACTTCATGGTCACGATGCTGAAGATTAATGAAGAAGAATGTTTTACGACTTTGAACAGTTGATTAGTTAAAACATCTCCATCTCTACAAACTGAGACAACTGGTTGAACTATTATTTATCATCTTTCCAGCTTCTTTCTGCTGCTTTTCTTTCTTTTATGATAATAAACCAAATGTTTTGGGGTTTTGTTCTAAACGAGTAATTAGAAGACGCCACCCGAGGCTTTAGGAAACTGTGTCATCAGCATTTCTTCTGCCATAAATCCTGCGTCAGCTTGACGTTTGGACTTTTACATCGTTTTGTGCGTCACCTCGACTGAACGTTTAAAGAGTTTTACTGCTGATGAACAGATCTCATGAAGGAAAACAAGGAAACACTAAATGTTGGTTTTATAGAATCAGCTCAAGACGTTCAGTGGCTTCACAAACAGGAAATAGTTCATAGTTTTCCGTGTTCTATGTGAGATTAATGAGACGTTTATTATATACGATATAAAACTGTGCACAGACATTAAGCTCATTAACATAATGTAACCTCCAGCTCATGAACTGCTCCTCACAGAGAACGTTGACTTATCCGTATTAATAAGTGTATTTAGGTTAAAGTTCATAAACAGCATAAAGTCTCAGTTATACCCCCCCCCCCCCCCCGGTCCCATAGGAGGACACCCACCCTCTCCAGGTCCTGTCTCAGATGCATGAACATCCTCATGCGGGTGTGGATGCTGTCCTCCTGCGGCTGCAGCACCAGGTTCTCCTCGTCCTCTTTGGGGGGCAGCAGGGCCCGGTTGAAGTTGGCCCTCCTCTTCAGCTTCCAGTATTGACAGATGAAGTCCAGGAGGCGCGCCGGCAGCCCGAGGGCCCGGGACAGGTCCTCCTGCTGGACCAGGGTGTAGAACTCCTCCTCCAGCTCCTGCAGCCTCTGGGCCCGCTGGCCGCCGCCCACCTTCTGGGTGTCGCCGGCGGGTTTGGAGCGAGCCGGGCTCAGACCGGCCTCCCCGGCCTTCTTGGACTGGCTGTGCTTCAGGCAGTACGACTTGAACTTGACCTCGTCGCCTTCGTCCAGGATGGTCTTCATCTCCAGGCTGTGCTCGAAGGCGCACGTCACGTGGAAGGGAGTGGTGCAGTTCTTCACCGAGCACTGGGGACAAAATGATGATGATGAAAAGAGTCTCCTCTCTCATTCATAACTTTATTTTCATATAAAATACATTCTGACGCCTCAGAGAAACCAATCAATGACCAATGCTCTATGATGATCAGCTACCAACCTTTCGGAAGCTTTTCACACATTTTACTGCGCGAGTTGTTCCACAATGACTCATTTATTATTATTTAATTATATCTTGTTTGTTTAATCCGGACTGTCGGAGTCTCGTTATTATTTTGTCTCCAGGCGGCAACCTCCGGTTCTTTAAAGTTCTTCAATGCTTCATGTCTTAAAGCTGCATTCTCCCTAATGTCCACCAGGGGGCGACTCCTCTGGTTGTATAGAAGTCTATG